ATCGACAAAAAAAGCTTCTAAGGAATAAAATATTTTCGTGTTAGTTTACACTTTGATGCATGGTGCAAATTTTTGTACAAATTCATCTGTAGAATCAGATCCGCGACCTTATGAAACCATCGAACCCATAAAATAAGATTTCTCAAAAGTACCAAAATTTTTATGCAAGCAATATGATTGATTTTAAATTTTTTGGTCAATTTTGTTACAAGTTAGCGCATTACCACTAATTGTCAAAAATGAGTGCATTAATAGTGGTGTTCACAAGTTTGTATCGAGAAACTTTGTGGAGAAATCGAGACACGCAGTGTCAAGATGTGAACCAAGTTCGAGTGCATTATAAGCTATTGGTTATCTGGCATGAAACACGTGTGAAAAAATTGAAGAACTTATTACATTCTCTTTTGAAATGTTTTCATGATAACACGCAACTTTTTCTTTCTAAATTGTTCTGGTTCATAACACTAGTCATAAGGAAAAAATAACACTTGTGGTTAGAATATAGCACTAGTTTTTGAAAAGGGTGGCAATAGAACATACTGAACACGTATTGTGAGTTTGTTTATTTTGCTAGGTTTTTTCTGCTATACAATTAAAAGTTTATCTTTTTATTTTTTTGAAAATTGTACAACAGGGCTGATTTAAATTATCCGGACAAACTGAAAAACATTTGATTTTAAAAACGCTTTTTTCTCAAATTGGGTTGAGTTTAGACAAAAATGATGGCATTTAAAGCTGCATAAACGTTTAAAGAGTTATTATAGTGCAATTCATTTTGAAAATTTTGCGGCCAAAATTTTATCTCAAAAATGGGTTATTTTGGTTTGTTATTCAATTAAATTATATGCTGAATCTAATTAGTAAATTGATAAGCAAGTAATATCAAGCGAGCCTCTTATAAAGTCCAACAAATTTTTCGATGAGTATAACAGCGAAACATTTGCGCAAAATGTTTAAAAATTGTTTTCAGTCAAAGATATAGGATTTTATGTAGGACAAATTACGTTTTCTTGCTACCAAACAAAAACATTCGTTTATATAGATTTTGGGAAACTATACTTTTCTAAAACTTTGAATTCTTTTATAAAGATTTTTGGAGGTTATAATTTTCTAAACTTTGTTGGGCTGTATAAGGAGCTATATTTGACATATTTGCGTAGTTTTTGATTGACTAAAAAGCCAAAATTACCCAGGTAAATTGCAACATAAAAATTATCGTAAGGTTCTATGCACTTTAGTTCTCATCATTAATGTCAAAGGTCAAACAATTTGAGAAACACGCGTTTTAATTGTCAAGTTTTGTTCATTTTGAACGGGTAAATTAAATAAGCACTGTAGCTTAAAGCGTTTTTTTTGGCTAATCGGGATCAAAGTTTTTCTTCCGGCATCCATGAGCAAAAGTTTCATCAGTTTTCGGAACTATATAATAGCAGTCAAGTATCTCGAAAAGGAATGTGGCGTATAAAAGTGTAAAAAATCAGGATTTATTGGCTTTTTCCTCTGTCGCAAACAAAATTTTTCCGACAATTACTTAGTTTTTGGCTCACAGGAATCAAAAAATATTTGCAACTATTCAGAGAGAAAATAATAGGCAAATCTGGATTTTTCGGACCTCATGTGAACCAAACTTTGTGAGAAATTTTGTCATGTATTGCTTTTGTACTTTTTAGCAGAATAGCAAAAAAGACAAGTTTGTGCATTTGGTTTATTTTTTTTAATTGTTTTTTACTCCCTTCCCTCACTTTGTAAGTTTTTCTTTTTCGTTAGACTTTGCAGCTATTACGGCTGATTGCTTACTTTTTTTGGTAAACTATGCTAAGAAATATGTGTTTCCATAGTTTTCAAATATTATTTTCTTGTCGGCAAAAACAGCAATTAAAAAACTGGCTCTATTTTTGAACGTTTTATGTTAGCCGACGAATTGGTTTAGGCTAGAGGTAAAATCGTCTTGCTCTTGTACAATCGGACCAATGCGATAATGATCAAGGTGCACTAAGCAAGGTCAACAAAGCCATATGAGTCTCGCTCCAGGGATAACGCCAACAATCAAAAGCTCCGCCGTCTAGAATTTATCAATTGCGCAACAATTGATATGGAGCTCGTGTATGATCGAACCGATCTGTATATATCTGGATAAACAATTTTAACTGTTTAATAGTTAGCCTTGTGATTAATTGTGGTTTCGAAAAGTTGGTTTCAAAGAAAATTAGCCTAAATAGTTACTTTCATAAAATTAGTCTCAAGAAAGCAATTCAAATGTCGAGTGTTGTTTAGACTGAAGATTTTGAGGCAATTTTCATTGGCTTGTGGCCATTCGCAGAAATCCAGATTTCACAAACAAACCTCGGATGAAAGCGAGCGAGTGATCTATCAAATTGAAGCCCTGTGTCGTGAAGAATGAGAATTTTTGACTTATATAAACCAAACAACAAAATAAGGTAGACGTTAACCACGTAAGCCTCGTCACCACTTCCTCCCCCTTTCGCCAAACGAAACTTTAGAAAAGGGAAAAAATCACTTTTGCTTACTTCCTCAACGCGAGTTAAATTTTGGTTTAAAATTTTCGCCAATTTTGTATCTTGACACTTTTGAATAATCCCCATAAAATTAAGACTAGAAAGAAGTGAAACTTGCTGCTACATTTAAAGATGATTTAATCGTTTTTTTGCAGGAAGCAAAAAATTTGTTTATTGTTTGTAACTTTTAGTTTTTTTTGTGATTATTAAAGCCTTATTATTGTTTTCAACTCAAAAAGTAAAGGTTTAAAGCGGTTGATTTACACATAATAAATTGTTCAAAATGTACGCTCAAGACATTATTTTTCGAATCAGTAAAAAATTGAGGTTGAAAAGAAGTTAAATTACATATGCAGTTTAAAATTTAACTTGGTACAAATGATTATATAGGAAAAATCATGAGGCCGTTTCAAGATTAACCCAGAGTACACATCCAACAACAACTATTTCAGTTGATAGAATTGTTTTCAAAACAAAAACGACGAGTTTTTGCAGATACACTGTTTCACTAAATTTAAGGTGCGATAAAGTCAGGAAAATAAAACTTTGCATGATGAAGGTCAAGAATAGCAATCACATTTTTTCTTCATACCTAACAGCAAAAAAAATTATTATTACAGCGAAAAATCCGAAATGGCACGCAGAAATTTCTGAAATGAACAATTTTGATACTGTGAGAACGAAAACAAAACAGCGTTTTTTTTTTCAAAACACTGCAGTACGCATAGAGTTAGTCACAAAACATCCAATCGATGATATACAAAACCGATTACAGAATTGATACAAAAAGTTCTACTTAAGAGATCATCAAGTATACTATATAGATCAATTACAAAGTTATACAATGATATTATAAATGTTGATAAAACGTTTTCATGGTGACTTTGAAAACTCCGTCAGCTAACCAAAAAGTTGATTTTTAAAGCATACGCAGCGTTTCAGGGTCACCGAATAAAATAATCCTCGTGTGATTATTTTCTCCACTTCAAATCTGAAAATTTTTGAACAGTTCGATTATTTTGAAATTTTTGGTTGCTGAGAAGACGGGTAAAACATGTTCTCGTTGCTTGCGTACTCATTGTGCAGTTCGAATTAAATTTTCTTTACTTGGTAGAGCTAGTTGAGGGCTAATACTGTCTTTAATGAGTTGAATTTTAGTTGCGACTCCGACGGTTGGGGTATTACTGTCACTCAGATTTTCCAACTTTTGTTTCAAAATTAGTCAGTTATCAGGTTTTCACATAGAATCGCCGTGACGATTTTTACCCCTCGTTTCAATAAAAAGGTCTGAAACCGTATTTACTGTTGATCGACATTTATGAGATTGGTATTAGGAGCAGTTCCAGTTCGTAGTTTTTGCGTTTCCTTGATGGTGCATTTAATTAGAATACTAGTTTGATTGAAAAAAGACATAATTTGAGGCAAATTATTGGTATCTAAAGGGGTTAAATTGTTGTGGATTTGTCTTGTTACAGGTTTATAAAGCAGGATGTGCAAACATAAGGGGTAAAATAAAGTGGGGAGAGGAACACCAGAAAAATTGTGTGCGGGTTCTGAGCTGAAATTTCTCAAATCATTGTCATTTCAATTGCAAACTAATCACCATCAAAATGAATATACAGAACTCCCATGTTTTCAAATGCAAAAAAAAATCCAAATTTTTTTCTCATTCAGCAAACTATTTCAATAGACGATTAACACAAAGTTTGTTTTACCTATTTTTACTGCTAACAAATTCAAGTTAGGAGGGACCGCTAATACAGCTAACGTACTTCCGTACAAACATCATTGCAGTCAAATTCTGGTTCCCTTTTGTCATTTTATACTGGAATTGGTTGTAATTGAGAACCGAAATTAAAAAGTCAATATAACAAGAGGTTTGTGCCTTGCCCGAAACATATGTCATACGATAGATCTAGCGATCTTATGTCCTCAATCTGGTGCCCAAGATAAAGTAATTTTTACGTATTTCAAGGAAAACTAAAAGAGTTAATAATAGGCGCCGATCTAGGATTTTCTCGAGGGCGGCGGGCTTTCGACCTTTTTTATTGGTCAACCAAATTGATTTTTTTGGTACCTTCCAAATCAAATTTAGGAACCTATTCCGACCGAATACACGAGCCGAAAGTAAAGTAAAAAAACAGGCCAAAACATAGCCATCAGACAATTGGACAAGAGTCATTGAGAGCAAGGAAACAAAAAAAATGATGAAAACGTCACGACCTATATGAGAGTCTGGACTACGTCCATCGACTCTTGAAAAGAAGTTTTTAGGCCCTTTGTGGAAAGTTTTGACAAAAAATTAAGGTCAGTCAGCCAAAAATGCTTATCTCAAAATAGTACAACGAGGGAACCCTTTGGGTCGGCAGATAGTCGAATCTCTGAAGGGGGAGGGAGGGCGTCGCTACCTCTAAACACGCTACTGCTTGCGCAGCACCCCTCTCAGCACATACGACAGTTTTTCTGTCGCTTATATCCACGAAATTTCAAGTTGAAAATAATTTATTAGCTTCAGAAGCGCTAATTTGGTTTAATTTGTAATTTATAAAACAGCCAGTGAAAGTGAATGCAAAATATTCTAAGATATTAGTTTCCAAAATGTGACCAGCATCTTTTAGCAAATATAAAAAATTTGGTTAAAATTGCTTCAAATTTACATTAGTGATCAAAGCAATACTAAACATCGCTCCATTAAAAACATTGTTAAACTTAAGTTGAGCTTTGAATAATTGATGCTACAAATTAAAATTGACAATTAATGATTGGTTTCCACTGTGACTAAATTATGGTAGTACGAATTCAAATTTAGGCGAAAAGCACAAATTGTTGAATGAATCTTGCAAAAATACTTGTCAGTACATTAGTAGAATTTTTCATATTTACGCTCCAATCTAAGGACCTTCAATGGTTAGTTAGACTAGTAAAGTTTCGTTGTTGTGCCTCTTGTAGCTGTTATATCGGCGCATTATGAGAAATCTGAGTGAAATATGGGTCTTCTACTGGTCTCTGTTGGGTAAATTTCTGGCCTTGACGCTTTCGATAAGTGGAGAAATCACTTTCAAACTCAGCACATCTCCACGCTTTACGCAACTCATCAGCTAAAACATTATAATCTATGTTGAATATTTATGATCCACTAATATACATTGAGTTGGGTGGCCCAGTCATCTCCGCCCCAGACACTTCCGCTCCAAAAGCAGTCAATCCAGAACTGGGAGCCATTGAGTTGACAACTTCCACCAGGTGACAATCTTCTGAACCGGTATTTTTCATTTTATTTCGTCGAAGATTCGGATAAAAACATCTGTATTGAAACCTTAAGAGTACATTAACAACACGACACACTGAAGCTGTACAAGCTATGAAAACAAACGGGTTTAGAGACGCGGTTATTTGAATCTCTTAATTTTGTCCCTCAGTGTAGAGATACTACCTCAGTCAACGTGATTTAACCAGATAGCCAAAAAAGTGCACTTAATTAAACATTAAAAGTAATGAACGCAAGTTAACATAATAAAAAACACTGTTTTTGCTAAAGAAAATCTCAACTTTTGAATTTCAAAGCAAAAAATAGATGCCCGTTAAGCTCTTTGAATTTATAGAACATTTTATGATTGGCGCTTTTTTGATAACATGAACCCAACTAGAAAAAGCTGGATCAATAGGTAAAGTTGCTATTCCGCTGGAAATCTCTATTAAATTCCACTTTCGAAACTAGAAATCATTCACATTTTTTCGCGCCTTTTCCACATTCGTATTTGGAGGGTGCTATTTACGTCCTTTTCAGCAGATGAATTTCAATTGAACTCAAAAAGTGCATATATACCTAAGTGCATCACTATTTTAAGACTTTTCCTAAAAAACAACAAAAAATGAGCAAGACCTATATAAGAATTTTCACTACGTGCATTACTTTTAAAAAGAAAAAAATATCTTTCAAGTAAGCATATATATAAAGCTGAAAACACGATTTACGATGGTTCGCTTTTTTCACTTTTTAATTTGAAAAAACTATATCGTGGAATTTCCAGAGCCATCTATGATTGCCACTTTATGGTAAAAACAAATCCAATTTAGGAAAACTGGAACCTCCAGCTCAATAAAAAATTACCCGGTGATCCAGTTTTTACATGTTGAGTTAGTTTTAGTAAACAGTGACAATCATAGATGATTCTGAAGATTCCACGATATTCTTTTTTTTTCAAATACAAAAGTGAAAAAAAGAGAACTATCGAAAATTGTGTTTTCAGTTTTATAGTGGTATACTTACTTGTAAGTTATTTTTTTCTTTTTAAGAGTAATGAACGTAGTGATGACTCTTATATAGGTCTTGCTGATTTTTTTAAATTTTTTTTTTCAGGAAACAGTCTTAAAATATTGATGCACTTAGGTATATATGCACTTCTTAAGACGATATAGTTTCACATCAAATTCACTCTTGAAACGAAAAACCAATCACATTTTTTTCACGCCAAACCGTTTGTTTTGACTTTTCATAAGGCACTATTCAAAATACTTAGTTTTATTGAAAGTCCACCACTTTTTATTCCAAGTAATGCATTGGTAAGACAAAAAACCCTGCCTTAGATCACTTTGGAATGACTTCTGAGACAGATTATTTCGCCGCTCACGCGTTAATACAACAGCACATACCGCTCTAAAACTGTCCCAAATTAGCCTTTCAAACCCCTATTGCTTTACAAAAAATAATAATAGTAGCAGAAAAAATCTTTCAAAATTTCCACTCAGGGCTATGATATCTATCAGATTCAAAAATATATCATATTCAAAAGCTATAACTCATCTTCAAGCTCTTCTGAAACAAAAAGTTTGGAAATATTGGAAACATGCAAACAAACTCAAGGATACCGAAAAAAAACTGATATTTTTTCAGAATTATTCAACTTGCGAAAATCGAACAGAAAAGAGCAAAAAATTGAAGCTCTTGGAAATTCAAAGACCTTTAAGGTTTGACAGTTTTTTATGAAACCAACCGAAATAGATGAAAGAGGGTCAATGGTTAATTTCTTATTCCACTAGGAAATCTAAAAATTAAAAGTTTGGGTTCCTTTTAGTATTTGAATTGACCTTAGAAAGATGTCAGAAATCAAACCAGGAAGGATCGAATTTGAGCGTGAGTAAAACATAAGACTTTTCAGATACCAATTAAGAATTTAAATACGTGCTACACTCAAAAAATTATCCTCATGCAAACAAAAAAAAACAAGAAACATTTAGCAATCAGGATGAGAATCTTTCAAAGCAGTTAACTCAACGTAGCAAATTCAGACAGCACTTGAATAAAACAACAAGCTGGAATTCTCAAAAATTGAGATCCCCACAGAAACGATATAAGTATTCAGTCCGCGTAGAAGCAAAAACATAGCCAACCGACGGTTAGAAAAATGTAAAAGAACAATGAAGCCGAAAAAATGATTCAAATGACCGTAAATTTTTTAATCTTCGAAGAAAAAAAGTATATCAGGTAACAGCTCTTCAATTTTCAGTTACAATTTGTGATTGAAACAAAAAAAAATAACCAACAGACAGTTGGAAACTGTCATGAACGCAAACAAATAGAAAAAAAATTGACTTGTTTTTTGAAAAAAACTTCAAGTTTCGAAATTTAAAGAAAAAAAGATATAACCTTTAAGCTATTTGAATTTCAAAAACAATTTATGATTGCACACTTTGGATAAAACTAACCTAATTTGGAAAAAGTGGATCACTAGGCAATTTTTTATTCCACTGGGATATCTTCAAAAAATAAAATCCAATTTTGAAACTAGAAGTCGTTCACGTTTTATTTAAGCTTTCGTAAATGGAGAGCACACTTTATCCAACATTTAGCAGGTTAATTTGAATCGAACACTAGCTGTGCTTCTCAAACACAAAAAGCAGCTCTATAAAGGGCAATAAGAACAAGTAGAAATAAGCCGCGAATTAGTAAAAACTCGGCTATGTCTCGGATTCGATCTGCAACCTAGAGATCTCACACATTAACCACTCAGCCCCGGACGCTTAATAAATCACAAACACTAGTCACATATAAAGCAGAGAACAGATGCTATGAAAGTTCTAAAGCTACAGATCGTGATTAGAGCAAAAGTGCCACCAAATAAGTGAACACTTTTCACTTTCAATAAACACTTTTATTTTTGAGTTAGATTAGAAAAAAGAAGGTTCTTACTAAGATACTGCTCGCCAGTGTAATAATAACTCTGCTTTATTTGAAAATAGATGAAAACTTTAGTATGATGGGCGAGCTTCTAGCAAACAGATTTGAAATTTAGGCAAATAAAAATCCAACAAAAAGAGCAAATAGCGCCTGAATATTACAAAAAGACAGATGAGACCATAAGGCAAAAAGAAACTTATAACCTATAGTTCCAACATATATCTTCAACATAGGTAAAGTAAACAAAAGCATGTTATATCAGAAACAAAAACCTGCCATCAAATAAGTAAGCCAACAATAAGTAAGTCGAAAAAGTGGAGCCGAAAAAAATTATGAAGTTTTAAGCTCTAAAAAACTTATCAAACCAACTTCCTGATAGATGAAATATTCTTATGTAACCCTTCTCCTTAATATTAGTGGGGATTCAAAACAAAGAACCGCAGGTATGACGACTAAAAAATAAACTAAAAACCGCGAAGCCGAAAAGAGCTCCATTTCCCCTTTAAATTTAATTTAAAATTTAACCAAAACTACTTCAGACATTAAAGGGCAGAGGAAACAGTCAGAACTTTGCTCTTATACGCGCAGTCTTGTTGATTTTCGGTGAGGAGAAACACCTCACATTCAGAAACCCCAAACACGAATAATAGTGAGGCTCAAACCAACCATCGACTTCCCCGATGAATATTTCGACCAGCTATTTAGGAGTTACATGCCTTACAGCAAGCAGCCAGGGATATGCATATTTGCTTGTACATAAAACACAGGCCGCAAAAGATGCACCTTCAATAAATTGATATAGCTGATAATATAGCCAAAACAGAAACGGGCAATGAAACCATACAAGGAAATGGTCGACTTGTATTTGAAAACTAGCAGCCTCTTATCATCAAGACGTTCCGCTGGTCAAATTTCTATTAATTTGAAACAAGAAATTATACAATAAGGTTTCCACTTTCCATTTATAGTGTTTCATTTATGTTTTAACTGTCACAAAATTTTAAATACTAACCGTCACAAAATATTCAAACATTCAGAAATTACAAGGAAAATATATGCGACAGAAAGAAGTGCAAACAACATGATTAGACTGTTGTGAAAAATGACGGGAATATCACTATAACAATACTAATACCTCTTTATTATTCCCACAAGCACAAAAGCGAATGTGCAAGGGGGTGTTTAAGTTTGTGTTACGAGTTGGTGGGCATTCAACAGGCGATGGGGTTTGTTATACCCCTCCCCCACTTCTGTCGGTGGAGTTCCGGGGGGTCGCTTTGCCCATGTTTAGGATGGTTTCTGACAGTTGATTGCCCATAAAGGATCCGCTTTTAACCACCGAAACGAACTGAAAGCAGTGGAGCAAAAGTGCAACACACATAAGAAAACACAACACAACACGACTATCTCAACAGGGGGGATATTCTCATGCCAAAAGGACCAAATCTGGCTCTTTTTGTGCAAACATCCGGTAATTCAAACTGGTCTAAGGCAAGCATGTCAAACTTCCGCTATGTCAAAAATCCGAACTTGGTACTAGTTTACTTGTTTGGTCCCTCAAAAATGCTGCGGTCCCTAATAAAAACCGAGGTACAGCAGGTGGTACGCTTTTTTTATTTCTCTATATTGCTATTGAAACGGGCATTGTTAGTATAGCGGGTTCGAATCAGGTTTTCAAACCCCAAGGCGTAGGTTTGAAACCCATGCTGGCTCTTCTTTTTATAAAATAGGCGGGACCAATCATCTAAACTAGTTTTGTCACCAAACAAGTAAACTAGTACCTCCGAAGTTTTGCACTAATTATGTAAACATAGCCAATAGACAGTTGGAAAAAAGCCCATGCACACAAATAAAAAATAATAATGGCTTCTTTTTGTTGAATCCGATTCCAATTTAGCCCACTCTCGGTGTAAGGTCGACGGAGGACACCGCGATAACCAGCTCTTATTTTCCTATAAACTATTTCCTTCTGTTGACAAGCTCGCAACACGTTGGCGCGACCGCGGCGATCCGTCTTCCTTTGAAGACTACAGCATTTTTAAGCGAACGGTAGAAATCGGATCTTTGCCCTGCTTTTTAAATGAAGTCGGATGTTCGCCCTAGTAAAGCTGATTTTCGGATGTTTGCAACATTATTTTTTCGGATGTTTGCACGATACCTAAGAGCTGAACTCCCACAATAGTAAATAATAATATGCATGACAAAATGGCGTCATAATCCTATATTAAGAAAGACTTCAGGGTATATTTTAGAATACAAATTAGTTGGAACCGTTTTACTATCCCCAGTGGCGTGCGCAGAAATTTTTCTAGGGGGCGAGGCGCTTTTTCGAAAAATTCTGCAAAAAATTGCCGGCCTTTTTTCAGGTTGACCAATTTGATTTTCCGAGCTCTCCTAAAATAGTATAAGGACCCTATTTTGTGACAAAATTTTTGCGCCGCAAGCAAATTTTTCAAAAAACAGGCCAAAAAAGCGTTTTTAGGAACTTTTTGGAAAATTTTGACTAAAAAACTGCTTTTTTTGGCGCGCGCTCCCCACTCAAAATTAGTCAGACTGGCGTCACAGGCGCCTTTAGAACAATTTTGAGGTTGATCAGCGAAAAAAGGATCTCATAGGCAACCAGAATTGAGGGGGGGGCGGTTCTGGTTGACTATGACATCCTTTTTTCGCTGAACAACCTCAAAATTGTTCTAAAGGCGCCTCAACAACCTCAAAATTGTTCTAAGGCTTTTCTTAGGGTTTTGGTGTCATTTACGTTTTTGGTGACAGGTACACACGTACTGCTCGATAGTGGAACTTGACTTCCTTTTAACAAAAGAAACAAATTGTTTTCGTTTTTTTTACACTAATAAGCTTTTTTGGATGCTTGCTTCATTTTGCATGTTTGCTTCATTTGTTTTAAAAGTTTTCGTTTTTTGCACTAGTAAGCTGTTTTTTTTTGGATGTTTGCTTAATTTCCCTCCAAATTTTTCGACTGTTTGACTTATCAGATGTTTGGACGAGGAGTCCGGCTTTTTTACTGTTTTCCCCCGGATATCGAAATCAGTTTTACGGTGTAAATATAAGTTATAAACGGGGGTTGAGAAATTAGACGATAAGCAAATTAGACGGAGGTACTTAAAAGGAAATTAGACGCTTTTGCAAAACTGCAATTGTGAGAAAATAGACGAAAGTGAGAGAAATTAACTTTGTTTGCACACAAATTGCGTTAGAAAAAGAAAATTGTTTGTAGACAACAGTTCAATTTCGGTGGCCAAAATTTTTACAAGTCAATCATGCATAATTTATTCAATTCAAAACTCTCCTGTAATATTCAGATTTGACATTTTATGTTCATTTAAACTAATTGTTTTGATAGGTATTGACAATTTATGTTCTTTTTGTATTTGTGAAACTTGACTATTAAGAAAAATTTTTGTTGGCCCTTTCCCTTTCGTCTAAAATGCCGAATCTGTAAAAAATAAATTCCGTCTATTTTCGTTTTTGTAGCATCCGTCTAATTTGCTTATCGTCTAATTTCCTAGGCCCCGTTATAAACATAAATTGTGTTTATGTGTTTGTAATTAAAGAATAAATACACAAGCCAAATTTCACGAGAATTGAACGTAAACAAAAATGAGAAAAACAAAAAATTACTGATAGGCGGGAAACTTCAGAAGTCCCGAATAAAACAAAAACTTTAACCAATCAAAGCTTTCAAAGCTCGCCCTAAAATATCTTGTTTTCGAGCAGATAATCGAATCGCCAATTATGAGCCTCTTATACATTTTTCGGTCAATCTACAATGTTGAAATCCACTCAGCAAACATTTAATGGACAAGCCAACACCAATTGTCATTGTCATTAATAAAAAAAACACAACATTCTAACAGCATGCCACTACTAATGAGCACCAATTAAAAATATTTATTTGAGCAACTTTACAATCTTTTAGCAAAATACAAACTAATTTGTATCAAAAAGTGTAAAATTCTACAAACAGTAGATAAGTTTTCTGAATTAATTATTTTTTCACATGCACAAAAAGAACAAAAAATGGTTTGTTTTTGTTTCGGTTTAGCGAACATGTGTTACCTGCAGGAACTCCTCCAGCTCCAGTTGTCCGTTAGAATTTGCATCCACATCGTTCAGAATGTCTCTCAGAGTGCCCTCACTGATCTCTTCATTTTGATCCTGATGCAAACATTATTTATTAATTATTAATAACTATTAATAAACTACTCTTGAATGTCGGGTTGGCTACCGCCAAGTATCAACTTGCATGAAAAAAGAACCATCTGACAGCTGGCAAAGTGCGCATGACTGCCAGAACAATAGACAGTATTTTGTTCTGACCAGGATGTAAGTAAACTATTATTCGGGTGTTTTAGTTTTTTACTTAACTATTTTCCACGAAAAATTGTGTACAACAAGTTATTGTCAGACAGGTTCGAGTGATCGACCACATAAAAATCTTTTCAATCGCGATTCGATCGATATTTTGAAAACTTCGATAATTGAAAATGGGGGGAAAACTTTGTATTCGGGATTGTTTTAGTTTTTTTTAGCTTTCCACGCAAAATCAGCTACCAGAAATGATCATCGGACTGGGTTGAGTCATAAAAATCATATTAAAGCGTTTTCAGTCGTGATTCAAACGACATTAAAAAAAACTTCCAGTGTCAAGAAAATCGGTTTGAAATTTTTCGTCTAATTTCGTGCGAGTGAGCATGCTTACATTAGCCTATTTATGCTTAATTTGAGCCTTGAAAATTTAGTTTTACCCAAATGAAGTTAGTTTAGGAGTTTTTAGCTTCATTTTAGGAATCAAAAATTTCGAAACATTCGGAAAAAAATGTTAAATAAAAACGAAAATTCTTAAGCTCTACTTTTTTGCTCAGATTCCTTTATCACACACGCACGCCGAATTTGCAAAAATAGTTTCATTGTAATTTTTTAAGACTGGTCGGAACATTCTGTGCTACTTGCATAGTAACCGGCTATCCTCATTTGCTTTTAACATTGAATCAATAGATTAATTTTTAATTCAACTGGAAATTATTACACAGAGCGAAGTGCAGCGAATGTTAGTTAGGGCCTTCAAAAGTTTAAATACCTGAAGTTCTTTAGAACTTCTGTGGCTGCTACCAAGTGGTATGATATGTTTACAAAGATGGTACCTTGAAGAACTGTCTGAGGTCCTGCAGTGATATGTATCCCTTCCTCTTCCTGTCGATGCTGTTGAATGATTTCGAGTACTTGCTGATCTCCTCTGAGGTCAGACTCACAGGCACACTGGCCAGGTACTCCTTCCTCGCTTCGGCCCCCATCTGCTCATACACAAACGTCTGTGCATTCTTCACTTCCGTCTGTAATCATCGAAGAGAGAGGCCAATTATTAGGGTTATAGTGCACAACATATTTATAGATGCGAGAAAAGATAGTTGATTCAGACAAATCATAAATCTAAGCCACAGTAAAGCGATACCTCAACAGCTCATTTAACGCCACAAGCAAGACGCGGATCTCGTCAAATACTTATGAATGTCTGAAGCACTAACCCTTGCACAAGAATACTTCGTAACATTTTTTTTCAAGAAATGGTCGATCAACAAATGGGAAAAAAATCATCATCATCAAAATCAAACTATCGATCTATTTAAAACCTAACTATTTTGTCATGCTGAGTTGGTTAAGTTATGTTGGATAAGTTGCTCATATGGAATCGATTCGGTATAAGATGCTACAAGGGAAAGCGGCTGAGACTGCTCACTAGATTCATTATTAAATGTATGATGTGTAAAAAAAAACTTGCCGCCTTTCTCTCGTTGGACCACTTCTTCTCTTTAGCCATCATATCAGCTATTATCGGGATGGCCTCCTGGGCACTTTGCGTATTGAGAAAAGCGACTCTGGTCCTCCTGGCTAAGACATCAGTGACCGATTCGGCGTACTCCTTCATTGCATATGTGACCTCTGCCTCAATGTAGGGGAAGTTGGACACCAGACGTCTGCCCACTAAAGGCCATCTCTGCCCTGTGGCCTTGGCCAGTTTGGCCACCTCTATGGACCTCGTGCCGTATGTCTCTGACAGGTGACGGGCAACTTCAGTGTCCAGACCAAAGTCCTAAATAACAAACAACGTACACCTTGCTTGAATGCAAATCTTTTCATGCAAGGTGAATGGAGGTCAATCATTGCAATACGAAATAACGAATGCTACTACAGTAATTGCTTCATGAAAAAAATTCAACGAGCAACCTGTTTTTTCAATAAGCGAGATTATTTTCTTCGGACCTGTCAAGTTTCAGATACTCTAGTTTTGACTCTAAACAATTTTGGCTGGCTGTTTGATGTGTTAAATTTCATTGCCAGGGAAAAACGAACTCGTCTTCCTCTTTTGAACTGACCTGTACGAGCCGGATGTAGAAATTGGCCGACCAGCCCTCCCCTCCCTCTAGAAACAGTCCGTCTGTCTGACTCTTCTCACTCAGCTTCGGCTGCAGCCCACACGCCTTCACTGCCGCATCCACAGTGTGCATGGCCATCGCCCTGTACGTAGTCCATTTGCCCCCTACATAATCATTATCAGGAACCTAGGATCATAATCATCATCGCTGAGTTCTTTTGTTGTATTCTCGGATATCTTTTTAACTATATACCCCCTTTTGCAAAAGGGGGATATTCGTTACTAGGTATAAAATTCTCAAATGCTTATATTTGATTTATTTCTTTATAGGGGATATTCGTTATTAGGTACCCGAGGAGGGCTAGTTAAAAAGATCCGTACTCTCACTTGAACCTCGAAAGCAGAACTATCGCCTTCTTTCACAGAAAAAATCGTTGAAAAACTCCCCTTACCTAGCTCATAAGGAGAGCTTATATTGGAAAGAGGTTGAACAATTCCTAGTTATCGCTTGGTCTCAGCTTTTTCAAACGTATTTCCATTTTCAATAAAAACGCGAGCTCGAAATAAAATATTAAGTTCAAAATTTGCGTTTTCAAAATTCATATTTCACGCCAACTTAATTTAGCGAAGCAAACATCTCGGAAGATAATTTACTTTTCACAGGAAAAATTTATGTATCAAATAACCTATCTTATTGTACGATCACTTATCTGAAATATATGTTTATCATAATACGAAACTCAAGAGCGCCATTTCTATTCGTTTGATAAGCTATTAATATAGTCGTTATAATCAAACCTTAATTAGAACAAATGAATAAGGGTCCCACTTCCTTGTTCAATTATCTACCTAGTTCTATATATTTTAGATTCATATCATTATTAAGATGTGTTCAGTAACAGGACTCACCTGCGATGGTGACTAGATTGGCGTCGTCCACTTCGACCACGTGGTTCCTCGCCAGCGACTGGGTGTCTCCCTTGCTGGGGTCCTTGACCAGAGGTCGGATTCCACTCCACGCCGCACGCACGTCTCCCCTTCTCACTGCAACAGTCACCAATCAAAGCACAAATTAAAACAAGTCAAAAACAGAACTTGAAACTTCAGCGTTACGATGCAAAAACCGTCAAGGCAGAATTAGACAATTAGGCTATCATCTCTATTAAATCCTCATATTGATCCTATTTAATTTAATAAGGGGTAGGCATTTTGTATACCTTCATCGGGGTTTTGGTAGTTTTTGACTGATGCATAGCAACATATCAAAAGCTTACGGCTGTGTTCAACGCTCATTTATTAGTTATTTGATCTCATGAGTAGTAGTTCAGAAAATTTCATATGGTTTATTGGTTTAACAAGGTAGTTGATGACTTGGTTGCCATATGTTATAAGTACCTTGTACGTCTGGGGACAAGTAGTGTCTCACTTCATCCAGAATGAACGAGATCTCTGCCTCTGATGGCTTGGGGTTGAAGGTGGGTTCGCAGGGCAGATCAGTGGTGCCAGCGATAGTGTGGTTCTCCCATGGCAGGAAGAAGATCACTCTCCCGTCACTAGTCTCAGGGTCCAACAGGCCCATCTTCTCAGGGCTAAAAAACATATTCAAACTAAACTTAAATTCAAACATTCAACTAAAAAAAAATGCAACTGTCACGCTAACTTCTATAAAACATTATGTCCGTTTACCTAAAAGATATTCGGTTTCATTTTAATACGAAAATCAACTGTGCATTGATTTCATTTCAATTTAATTTGATGGCTCGAATAGGTTCACAAAAAAACTGAGTTTTTGAAGCCATATATTGAAGCAAAGCAAGGGAAACTTGAACAATCCAGGATGCTTGCAATGGTTTACAAAGAACTAAATGTTTTGAAGCAAATTATCACGCAATGAAACATTGAAAACTTTCAAGTTGTTTCGAAAGCTTGCATTCGTGTGCAAAAATGATAAACCTTTTCTGAAGCAAGCTATTTAAGCAATGAAATTTTCACCCCTTTCTAAAACTCAAATTTTTGAAGCAGGCTATCAATCTTTGTAACTGGTATGTTTCAAGTTGTCTAATGCCTTAAATGGATTCGCAGAAAATTTGTTCTCAAAAATAGCAAGCAAGTTTTTTATAGCAAGCTATCAAGTTAAGCAACTTCGAAAAATCAACTTGTTTTGATTGCCTGATTTTCATAATTTCTTTGAAGCAAGCTTGCAATCATTGGAAACGTGAAACAACTCAATTTATCTTGATAGCTTCGCAAAATGTTTGGGAGCAAATTATTCAAGTGATGATACTTTGTTGAAACTTTGAATCAATTCACTTTCAAATTATTCGAAAAAATACTTTTTTTCTAAGTTAACTATTAAAGCGATAGGTTTAGGACTAATTCATATTGTTTTGATGTTTGATGGCTTGACGGGATCAGAAAAATTGAAAGTTTTTTTGATACAAGCTATCAAAGGATTGAACTTCTCGAGACTAGGTCTGTATTCATTACAGCCCTCAACCCCTCCCCCCCCCCCCCCCCCCTCATACCATACAAGAGTGATAGAGGACCCCTGTTAAAGCACGTATGAGAGATGGGTCCCAAGCATCACGAATGCTGAGCAAATGGGTATAATTAATAAAAACTAAGAGACATTTCTCAATCGTTTTCAATACTTTCTTGCAGCTATAAAGTTAGCTTCATTTGCTCTATCATATTTGTTGACATCGCCGAAGCGAAAAAAATGACTTTGAGACTTTTCCAGATTGAGCTCCGTTAGTTAATTGGTAACTCTCGATCGCTTATGTACCATCCCTATCCCCTACCTAATAGAAAACTATACACTGACACGTTTTCAACATAAGGGGGATTTAAATTTTCCGTGGGGACTATGATGGAAAGGAGTTGGTATTAGTTATGAGGAGAACTTTAAAGGAGTAGTTTGAAATATGGCATTAATCATTAAAATCTAGAAATTAAAATTATTTATCAAAACATCAAGACAATCTGTTAAGACATTTTTGCCTTGACCGGAATAAAGATCTTAAGATCAAATAAAGACTTCGGATTGAAGTAAGTTCCGTACTAAAATTGTACTGCAATACAGATATGAACTGTACTTCATTTAAAAAAAGTCTTTACAGGAACTTTTAATGTAGGTGTTATGACTCTGATGTCGTGATTCTGTTTGCATCATGTTATGAACATACAAGCGTTTGTTAATACTATTACTTGGTGTATATATGTATATTTTGTACCTGTAGTAGTCTGGCAGTATGATGTGTACTCCAGAGGATGGCTGGCAGATGGGTCTGTTCTTCTCGCTGCCCATCTGGCGGATGCTGTCAGTGAAGGGCCCAGTCGCATTCACCACACACTTCGCCTTCACTTTGAATACCTCTCCTAAAAACCCAAAGCATATCGTTATGTATAATATTTTATGCCAAACTAGAGTTAGTGTCGGTAAACTTGAGTAACCTGAAAAGCGTTGGAGAGCGTATTTTTTGTTGAGCGTAATTTACCTTCCATTTAGCAAATTAATTTTAATTGAACTTGAAGAGAAATCAAAAATCGAACGAAACTTCAAATAAAAACTTGAGCGTGATCAAATTTCAAGATTTAAACCTGAAAAATCAAAACTATTTAAACAAGCGCCTTCATTTCGTTCATAATGACACGTAAATCTGCAATCTTCTTGTCCACCAGAAAAAAGTTTTTGCAGTAAAAACAGAAATTTCCTTTCACGCTCCTTTTGTTCTGCCTAACCTGTGAGTAGGTCCTTGCAAACAGCCCCGCTGACCTTTCCCTGTTCGTCCTTGAGGAGTTGGGTGACCTTAGCGTGGTTGGCACACTGCGTTCCATACCTAATAGCTGTTACTATCAGAGACAGATTCATTCGAGCATCATTCTGCTGGCCTGAAGAACAATTCAACGGGTACTAAATTTGACAGAAAACACGGCAGAAAAACAATAGTTTACGACATCCATTTTTGAACCAACTTTGAGCGCTCATATATTAAGCTTTTGAGAACAGATTGCTTGACGAGAAAAACGTTTTGATGGTTCAAATAATTCTAAGAAGTGCCGAACAATTTAGGCTAAAAGTGAAGAACATTTTTAGTACGACTCCAAAAAATCATCCAAGAAAATGTGGAGGATGAAATCAATCTAATTGTCAAATTGATTAATCGTAGTAATAAAAGGACAAACATACCGTCGTAGTATACGATGCCGCACTTGAGCTTATCCTTTTTTAGCATAGGAAAGACATCCAGGGTCCTGTTCTTGAAGAGGATGTAGCTGGGCTTTAAGATCTTGGACCCACTGACCAAGTCATAGGCCTTGATTCCTGCGTAGTAGTAGGGTATCTGCCAGTATCTATCAAAACAAAGCATTTCATTCTACAACTGAATATACTGTACTGCAGATTGCAAGGACAATAGCCCTGTTTTTCTCTGTTTTTGAAATCAATACAGTTTCATCCAAACGTGCAATCTTAGCAAAAATTTGCAGATTTGCGCCCATTTACAGATTTGCGTCCATTTACTGTACATACGCCATCAGCCCGAAACAGAACACGTATAGTATATCACAAGAGTAGAATGTAGGAGTACAAGAAGGGTAGGATAGAACGTTCCGACAAGAAATACATTTCAGAAGAAAACACAAGTTAAAAATTAAGTAACAGTTTTTGGGAATCAACTTGCCTTTTTATGTGGGGTCCAGGAAGTTTTGCGTCATTAATTAACAATTCACAGTTCAAATAAAGAGTCAAAAATTGATGATCGCAAGGATAACACAGAGGCAAAGTTGAACTTCGCACCACTTGCGATACAAATATGAATCACTATGATTAAAATCAAACGGAAATTGAAAAATTCAAAAAATCGATTTTGTCAATAAAAATAGCAGCAAAAGACCAAAATATTCGGAACAAAATTGCCTGCACCATTAGAAACTTTACGAAGAGCTTTGTGAACGCTAAACAGAAGCCAAGTTTTCAAAAAAAGTCCTTTCTGTGGAACTAAGCAGACAAAAATAAACAGACAGACAAAAATCTAAATTAGGCCAAATTTTCTAAGTTCAAGAAAAACAGGTCTCAACTGGACTCGAACTCCCGGACTTTGTAGTCTCAAGCATGGGGAATACAACAACTTGGAATAAAGCTGAACGATCGACCTACGGGAACTAAGCCGACAAAGTAAACAGACGGACGGTAGTCCGAAAAAGCACAACTCTATTTTGCAAAAAAGGGCCTTTGCCGTCCCAAGCAGTTGTTTTACCTTTATGTCAGATGCGCCGGATGGGTGATCGCATTTGAATTTATAATTAGAAGCAGTAACAAAGCCGAAAAAACCTGAGCAGAAACCCTTCATGCCGAAAAGAAAATTTAAAAAATTCTAAACTTATCAACAAAATGTGAAGTCCTTTTTCCCTTCAGAGCACAAGCACACGCACAAAAAATTTTCTGTCGTAAAGAGACCCAATGAAAGGCCACTAAGTCGATATTGATTAGGCCGAAAATTATCAACCCGATAAGTAAGACAAAACGAAAAAAAGGAACTTTAAAAATCGAGCTGGTAAAATTACAACCAATGTGAAAAGTAAATTTCGATTCAGCTGTATTTTTGAAATGCTAAAGATAACTGCAGCAAAATTGTTTACAGCTAAAATAAACGATTCTCAGATGTTGCAACTAAGCCGACAAAACATGAGCAGACAAATTTTAGTTCGAAATTTTTTTGAACCGGAATATTTACCGTTTGCAAAAAAAAACTGGTCCTCGTGAGATTCGAACCCAGACCCTTTGGCGTCCCAGGCGTATTCGTTACCGCCAGGCTAAGTGTGCAAGATGCACTACAAAATTTGAATTCATAATGAACCAAGGTACCACCAAGAGCCCAATGAGTCCTGTGGACAAAGTTGTTAAGAAGAAAAAAAGGCTAGTACCCAATTGCAATACCCGTGCTTATCGCAAGGGTGATGTGTTTTTAAACTTTACAGTTTTACTGTAATTAGCGAAGACATGATACCGTTTTTTCTGATCCAGATTTAATTGCAGGTCTAAGCCCGAATGAAATGGCTTCTATGTGATATATCAGTTGGACCTTCAGAGTTTGCATAAAAAAGGTCTTACAATGATCGGAACAAAAAGGAGCGCTTTCAAGGAGCGCTATTAGAAAGGATAACGATACTAAATTACTTACACATTTAGCCTGCAGTTACGTGATAACGAAGCCACAAATTTCAATATTCAACCAATCTAACAGATATCAACTTTTTCTAACATTTCGTCGCTATCTCTGCTAAATCAGGGCTGAAATTCTGCCATATCTTAGACATTTTGTTTAGTAAGATCTTTCCTATAGGGTCGAAACAAAAAATTGTTGTTTAAAAGGCAGTATTTGGTCATTGGTTGTTGAAAAATATTCAATAACAGCAATCAGTTTCGATTTTTGGGCTCTTAGTTTTTCTCGGAAAAGCTGAGCCTCTTGCTTATCCCATCGTATAATTTTGATCAACATAAGGAGGAATTGTAAATTACTCAGCCCAAAAGCAAATTACATCTGATATCATAAATCTATATAAAAGATAACAACACTTTTATATTTTGTTAATGAATAACTTATTCAATTCCTTATTTTGTGCTAAAATTTGAGAAAAACGCAAGATCAATAGCCTAAATGATTGAATTTGAGTTCAAAACTAAAACGCTTTGGGGGATTATCCAGGATTTGTCAACCCCGTACTTTTTTTTAAATAAAAACGACATTAATGAGTAACGGCTTCTATGTCCTGGAACTCTGTTCCATGAACAATAATTAAACAGTCGAACTGAATAAACTTAACCGCTTTGGATGATTAACTACTTCTCTCAATACTGAGAAAGCCATACTAAAGAGCATTATTTGGCTCTGGATCAATAATTTCTTTCGCTCGGAACAATTAATTTTCCACAAAGAAAACATCTAAAACGCAACCGATCATTCTTCCGCTTCGATAAAAGTTAATATCTGAAAGTTTGTCTGTTTTGAGAAAAACTGGTCTGAACATTTCCTATTTGCAGATAAACTTATCATAGGTTTTGCATTTTAACTCAATTACTACCATTTAGTTTTATTACAGGTCATTTTTTATAGTTGAGCATTAAATGGACAGCTGTGCCTATCTTTATGCACAATTTGAACAGCTATAAAAAAAGGAGAGTGAAGCCTACATCAACACCATCCTTACATTGTTTCTATTGGTTAGTTAGGAGACATTTCTGATCAAGACAGTGAACTTCCTTGTCGATTAAAAGACAAAGATGAAAAAAAAAAAACAGAACAAGCTTGTTTCTTCAATTAATTGCAACGGCAACAACCAGCACAAAATATTAAACAAAATATTTGGCTGCAGATGTCCCATCTCCAAGTGGCGGAAACAACAACCTCATATCTGTCTTCAAATAGCTCAACTTCACTCACTAAATGTACAGGGAACGCTGATTGCTTGCAAAGCCCACGTTTTTTGGTTTGGAGCGTCTGAAGCCGTCCGGACTATTTTGTCTAATTATCCTCACTCTTCTCCGCCGTTCCGGCAATTTTCCCGACCCAGGTCTCTATTCTTGCTCCCAAGTTCCACAGCAATTAAGCAAAACGAAAAGATCACGTGGTGTAACATTTGCAGGTGGATCCGCTTTAAATGTTGTGGACTCGCGCGTGTCAAAGACCATTATCGAGATCTCTTCTACTCACACTGCTCTAATTACTAAACACTTCCCTTTCTTGTAACCAGCAGCCCAAACATCTCGCTACAATTATCTAATTCCCAATATTATAATCACGCATTTAACTGACCCACGCCTCACAGTTAGATAACTCAAACTGTCCCAAAACTTGGCTCAACTCACCAAGACTACTGGCTCTAGCCGGCCGAAGTAGCGAAGTTCTTCAAACGCAGGCCTCGCTTACATGACGCACCTCATCGGTCAACTTACAACAACAACAACGTGAAATATTCAGTCAAAAAATTAGTAGGAATTTGTTAGCCAGAAGCTTTCAATCATCGATTAAATAGATACCCTTTTGTTTAAACTTAAGGGACTATACCCGTTGGGCTCATTTTCGAGCAAATTAAAACAGACAGCTAGTGTTAAGCAATTTGTTGTCTAACTAGTTTTTCGCCAAAATTCGCTCACTTTATTTGTCCTATTGGTTAATAAATGCTCTCTAGATCAAATCCGTCTACTTGACACAAACATTTTTTAAATTGAATATTGCTATTTTAAATCTTTTAATCAGCGCCTCTATCATTTCAATCGAAGAAAAATTAGAATTAAACGCAGTTTACATATAACTGGCAATTGTTTTTGTGCAAAAATATTGTACAAGAAAAAAACAGAAAACACTTTTATTTTAAAAGACAGCAAAAGACCAGTTTCATAGAGAAAGTTACACCCCGTAAAGCTCTTTCACTTTCGAAAAATTTAATGGAATCAACCATACAATCTCCTCCCCAAGAAAGCAGTAAATTTGAAAATCAATTCTGTATAAAATTTTGAAACATTTATTCAGTTTAAAATTGGTAAACTACACAATCAATTAAATTAACGTTTTATTATGTTTTGATAAATAAATGATTAAATAGTATCCCTAGTTGCAACTACCCGATCATGATCCATCTAAAAAACCCATAGACGCAATCATGATCTATCTAACAACCCAATAGACCCAATCATGATCTATCTAACAACCCCATAGACTCAATCATGATCATCTAACAACCCCATAGCCCCAAT